CGTTTTTATCCATTAATGCCCAGGGTTTAAACACCCCTCAAAAGAGAGGATATTTAGATGACACAATTAGAAAAAATAAAATGGATGTTTATTTTGTGCAGGAGACACATTGGCAGAATCAGAATACCAACTATTGGAAATTTACCAAATTTCCATTAATCTTCACATCAGATTATAACAAAAAGAAGAGAGGAGTTGCAATAGTAATCTCAGCACATATTAAATTTGAACTTATTTTAGAAAAAAAAGATAATCAAGGTAGAAGTTTGATTGTGATTTGTACATTAAATGAAGAAATATTTACATTGGTAAACTTATATGCATCAAAGATCTATTCCAGCAAATTTTTCAAATCTGTTTTCAATGAAATTGAGAAAATCAAAAAAGGAACTCTACTGATAGCTGGAGATATGAATGTTACAGTAGACACAAAAATGGATAGAACACTAACTAATAAGAACAATCACTACAGTAGGAAAGTAAGCAATAACGCTAGATCATTTTACTACATTATGATAGAACATGATCTTTATGATATCTGGAGGGTTCAGCATCCCAATATTAGGGACTATTCATATTTTTCCCATGTACATAAAATGTACTCAATAATAGACATTTATCTAACAAATTCTTGCAGTTTACAGAGGTTTGAAAATTCTAATATTGACAATTTATGCTGGTCATATCACAGACCGATAACAACTAACATAAAACAAAAAAAGATACACAGGGAAGGACATCTTGGAGGATGAATGAGGAAATTTTAGACTCAGAATATGGTCTAAAATATTTAAAAGAGCAAGCAGAAGAATTTATAAGATTCAACGATAATAAAGAAGTTTCTAATTGTACTCTTTGGTGCACATTTAAAAGTTTTATGCGGGGAAACCTTATAAAAATTGGACCAAAATAGAAAAAAGATCAGGGGAGAAACCTAACGGATCTCTATATAGAATTAGCCATATTAGAACATATTAATAAAAAAGCTTTTAATATATTAAGATTAAACAAAATTAAAGAAATACAAACTCAAATTAAAATCAATTTTTTTAAATAAAGTAAACAATGCAATTATAAGGTTAAAATAGTAGTATTTTGGAGAAAATAGAACGAGTAAAAAATTTTCTAATAAATTAAAATTCAAAAAACAACAACAAAAGATTATAAAGATAAAATATAAAAATAAAGATCATTTATCACTAACTGATTTAGGGGAAGCATTTAGTCAATATTATAAATCATTATATAAACTTGCAAAGACCCCATTAACATTCAAAGACATAGATATCTTCCTAACTAACTGTAAATTACCAAAAATAAATGTAGAATAGACTAAACATTTAGAATCTTCCATATCCATAACAGAGATTACCCAGGCTATAAAACACTCCATAAAGGGAAAGCCCCTGGACCAAATGGTCTCACTGATGCCTTTTACAAAACATTCCTCACTCCTATCTCTTCTCTTTTGTTTAAAGTCTATAATGAAGTGAGGGTTCAGAAATATCTCCCTAGGAAATGTTACAAACAATGATTATACCTATTCTAAAACCAGAGAAAGATCCTCATTTTGTATCGAATTACAGACCTATATCATTATTAAACATTGATATAAAGATCTTTTCAAGGATATTGGCTGATAAAATTAAAAAAATTGTTCTGTCTTTTATTCACCCAGATCAAGCTGGATTTATAATGGGTAGAAAAGGTACCCATAATATATGCAGGCTTTTAAATCTAATTCAAGTAATAGAGAATAATAAAATCCCATCACTATTCGTGGCTCTCAATGCAGAGAAGACCTTCGACAGGGTAAACTGGCTGTTCCTGTTGAGGGTCCTTAAAGCATTTGGTTTCCAAGATTTTATATATGATCCAATTTGGTCTCTCTATAGGAATCCAATGGCCAGGGTCATGGGCAGGTGCGTTTCATCAGAGTGGTTTGATGTAAATAATGGGACACGCCAGGGATGTCCCTTGGTGCCATTGTTATATGCCTTTAGTATAGAACCACTTGCCTCAGCTATCAGACTAGAGGGAAAAATTAAAGGGATTCCTAGGGCCAGCAAACAAGTCAAGGTCCTACTATATGCGGACGATATAATTTTAACATTAACCGAATGTGAGCAGTCATTATATGTATTTCTGAAATTAATTGAGAAGTATAGATTTATTTCTAATTATAAAATCAACATAAATAAAACACAGGCAATATACACCAACCTACGTGAACAACAACTTCTACTTTAAAATCTAAATTCCAATTTACTTATCAAGAATAGCGCTGAAATATATAACTAGAAAATTTATAGATGGCGGAATATCATTCCCAGATGTGTATCAAGTCCATGACGCAATCATGCTTTCTCATATCCTAGAATGGAATAACTATAACTTTAAGGATAATTTGTGGATAGATCAAGAACAAATTTCGAGTAATATTTCTGACATAAAATTGTTATACTGGATTGATCCTTCAACATTTTATAAATTAAAAATAAGATAATTTGGGATATTTTTTCTATTATGCAAATGCTGAAGAATTTTTTTTAGAGATTATTGAACAACTAGCTATAAATTCACCAATTGAAATAATGCAAATATATATTGAGGATATTAATATTAAAAAGTGGAAGGAGAATGGTCTGGTAAAATTAGCCGATATTTTAAAGTCGGATCTGCAAATAAAATCGTTTCAACAAATTCTTACAGAAACAAAAGGTCTTGATAAAGAACAATTCACATATATTAGCATTTTATTCAATCTAATCCAATATATAACAACTCAGTTATAGATAATATCCTTAAGATAGAACAGAAGAATAATATGGTCTCAAAAATAAATAAGGTTCTATATAGCAGGTATAATAAGGATAAAATGAAATCTATACTGAAGTGGGAAAATTATATTGGAAGTGAGTTTTCATTGGATCAATGGAAGGAATCATTTGATTTGCTTAAAAAAGCGATACATTGTATAAGTTTATACGAACTACAGATCAAATTGGTTCATAGGTGGTATATGGTTCCAGCGAGAGTTGCAAGATTCCATCCACCTACAAACTCAGTTTGCTGGAGATGTCTTAGATATGAGGGAACTCTGAAACATATTTGGTGGGATTGTTATATTCTTGACTCGTTAAAGCAAGCTACATCTACAAAAATCAAGAATATTTTTAAAAAACAATGAATCTCTCTCCACAATTATTTTTGTTACATATGAATATTCCTACTAAAACTAAACTTATAAAATATTTAATTACTCATATAATAATGGCGGTTAAAATTTGTATAGCCAGATATTGGAAAACAGTAAATATTCCCTATGGAGAGAGGTGGAATTTCAAATAGGATACCAGCAATTAATGGAGAAACAGATATATAGAAATCTTAACATGACAAATATACACACCAAGATATGGGAACACTGGATAACCAAGACATCCATTAACCAATAATGTAGCGCATACTAATAAAAACTGGTCCTTAAAGTTAGAAACTTTCATCAGATATTCTCTAATAGCTTTGGTGCACTGTTTGAATGAGTAGTTTGTCTTGTATGTATTATATGTTATGTTTTATAAGGCATGACTATAGAGGAAGCAAGGTCTCAACATACTGGCTAATATAGATTACGAAGGTACAATAGGATAGATACTGACACCCTATAGCCGGTCTTACATCCAATAAAATAAAGTAAAATTTTAATAGAAATTTAATTATATATAACAACATATGATGAATTGGTATTTATTATATTACTAAGATACAATGGCGCAAATCTATGGGATAAATACCTTTCTGATGTTTTAAAAAAAAAAAAAGATTCTACATAAATTGGAGGAAGTTAAAGAAGGTATTTGTATAATCTCCGGAGATTTTAATTCCATTTTAGAACACACGCTAGACAAAAATACGCCTGAAGGTATTAAAGTAAATAAATTAGTTATCAAACAAGCGAAATCTTTGAACAACATTTTAAATCAATACAACTTGTTTGATATATGGAGATTAATGCACCCTTTTGACAGGGATTTTACCCATCTTTCCAAAATCATATTTCTTACTCACAGATTGATATGATCTGGGGAAACTCACTTCTTATAGAGGAAGTTAAAGCAAAAGATATAATAGACAATGTGTGGTCAGATCACAGTATAATAAATATGGAAATACAAAATAGGTACCCACAACTAAATAGATCTACTTGGAAGCTTAAAGGACCACTCTAGGCACCCAGACCACTTCAGCTTAATGAAATGGTCTGGGTGCCAGGTCCAGCTAGGATTAACCCATTTTTTCATAAACATAGCAGTTTAAGAGAAACTGCTATGTTTATGAATGGGTTAAGCCTTCCCCCTAATCCTCTAGTGGCTGTCTCATTGATTGACAGTGAGAGCACGCCAGCGTCCATAGGAAAGCATTATGAATGCTTTCCTATGTGACCGGCTGAATGCGCGCGCAGCTCTTGCCGCGCGTGCGCATTCAGCCGACGGGGAGGAGAGAAGGAGGATTGGAGGAGGAGAGCTCTCTGCCCAGCGCTGGAAAAAGGTAAGTTTAACCCCTTTTCCCCTTTCCAGAGCCGGGCGGGAGGGGGTCCCTGAGGGTGGGGGCACCCTCAGGGCACTTGTTTTCCTGGCACTATAGTGGTCCTTTAATCATTTTCTTTTGAAATATGAAAGCAATTATGAATATTTGAAACAGAAAATAGAATTTTTCTTCTTAGACAACAATCTTCAGGATACTTCGCCAATTAATAATTGGTGTGCTTTCAAGGCCGTTATTCGTGGACATCTTATTAAGTTTCAGAGTAGATTTAAAAAAAAAAAATCTAAAAGGAGGAAGACTTGTTATAAAAGAAATCCTGACTGAAATAACTCAAGTCCAGAATAAAATTAAACAGTGTTTGTTAGATCAAACGATAAAAATGTTTGTAAAATTAAAGCTAAATTATTATTATAAAGGAAACAAAGCAGATACATTGCTAAACCAAGAATTTAAGAAAGAAACAAACAAGTAATCGAGTATTTAAATTAATTGATGGAACTAATACGTGTATAAATCCCTGAGATATAGGGAAATGCTTTCATTCCTATTATTCTAAGTTATATAATCTGATCCCTCAAACAAATGAAGAACAAATTAATGCATATTTGAAGAGATCTTCTCTCCCTTCTTTGTCCGAAAATCAAAAAGATTCTTTAAATAGACCTATTTGTAATGAGGAGATACAGGCTGTAATTACCAAGCTAGAAAAATATAAGACCTTTGGTCCCGATGGATTTACCAACCAATTCTATAAATTATACAGTCATAAAGTCATTGGAGCTATGGCTTCAACTTTTAACAGCTTAATTCAAACAGGAGAATTCCCAGTTGAAATTACCAGAGCCAATATTATACCAATTTTAAAACAAGGGAAAAAAAACATAGGTGGTAAACTGTAGACCAATATAATTAATAAACGTTGATGTTAAGATTTTTGCCTCAGGAGTATCTAATAGACTTAAACCTTTGATAGAATACCTAATTCATCGGGACCAGGTAGATTTTGTCCTGGGCAGAAATTCTGCAACAAATGTCCGAAGGGTGGAGGCCATTTTTGATTTCGCTAAAAAGAGATGCCTTCCCCTCCTTACTCTGTCACTGGATGCTGAGAAGGCTTTTGACAGATTCGGGTGGGATTTTATGAAGGCTTCTCTGGAGAAATATTGTATAACAGTTTTTTTCTAAGAGCTATGTTTTCCTTATATAAAATGCCTTCTGCTCACACTATTGGACCTATTATTACTGCAGATTGGTTCAAACTTTCTAATGGCACATGACAGGGGTGTCCCCTTTGTCCCCTACTTTTTATTTTAACCATCGAACCATTAGCGGCTAATATCAGAGTCTGCTCAGAGATAAAGGGACTAATAGTACATTCCAAAGAAACTAAAATTAACCTATACGCTGATGATATTCTCGTGACTATGACAGAACCTTTAAATTCCCCGGAAGCTCTTATGAAATAAATTAATGCATTCAGTCAAGTTTCAAATTTTTTATTAAATATGTCTAAATCTATTATGATGGTATTAAATGTGAATAAACTCCACATTGAGGAGATCCACTTTCAATATCACTTTTCCTGGGAAAAAAGGTGTTTTGACTATTTGGGTTTTAAAATTGTCAAAGATGTAGATCAGGCTTCCCCAAACTCCGGCCCTCCAGATGTTGCTGAGCTACAACTCCCATGATTCTTAGCCTATCTATTTCATTCATAGATGTGCCCCCTCCACCCCAATCCCTGTTCCTTCAGCAATATCTAAATGGGAAAAAGAATTAGGTTGTAATATTGACAAGGATAGTCAGCATGAGGCTCTTCACTATGTCACCAAAAATATACATTGTTTAAATTACGCAGAAACATTCTGCAAACAGGACCGGTGCAAGGATTTCTGCCGCCCTAGGCAAAGATTAATTTCACCGCCCGCTCATGTCACTCACTCATTGACAGACATACACTCACTTACTGACACACACACACACACTCACTCACTGACACACACACACACACACACAGAAACTCACTGGCAGACACACACTCACTCACTGACAGACACACACACACACACACTTACTGACAGACATACACTTACTGACAGACATACACTTGCTCAGTGACAGACACAAACACACACACACTTACTGACAGACATACACTCACTCAGTGACAGACACAAACACACACACACTTACTGACAGCCATACACTCACTGAGAGACACACAGACACTCACACTCACTGACAGATAGACACACACTCACACACAGACACACACACACACTTACTGAAAGACATACACTTACTCACTGACTGACACACACTCACTCACACACACTCACTGACAGACACACACATAGACACTCACTGACATACATACATTCACTCACTGACAGACACACACACACACACACACACACACTAACTGACAGACTTACACAGACAGACACACATACACACTGACAGACATTCACTGACAGACACACACACTGACAAACTCACACACAGACACTCACTGACATACATACATACACTCAATCACTGACAGACACACAAACACAGAGGCAGACACTCACTGACAGACATACATACACTCACTGACAGAGACACACACACACACACATTCACTCACTAACAGTCAAACACTCACCTCCCTGGGGTTCAGTGTGGGGCAGCTACTCACTTCTCCAGTGCGCCGTTTAGTATGGCGAGGCAGGAATGACGTCATATTCCGGCTCCAGGCACCACAGAGGGCGAGCGAGGGAGGAGTGAGAGGCTGCTAGAACAGCCTCCCTCACCGCATGCCTGCCTGCTCCATCCTCTCTCCTCCAGTCACCGGTGTTTAGTGGCAGAGCAGGCACCTGCCATCAAGGTATGCAGGTGCCTGCTCTGCCTTACTATAGCACAGCATCAGGGGAGCCCTGAGGTGGCCACATGGCCCCCTTCTGGCCCCCCTGTGACAAGGCTACTCTCGGAGCCCCCACCTTCGGGCACCTATTAGCAGGGGGAGGTGGGGCACGGCGGCCATGTTTTGAGGGGAACATCTCAATAGCTGCATATCTGTAGTATGTAGTATGGATATAATTAAAAGAAAACCTCCTGATATTATTAATTACACAAAGAATACAATTTAAGTGTTAATTAGGAACCATAATGAATTGAAAGAAATATAAAACATATGTAATAAAAGAGACAAATGGGAGTATTTAAATTATTATTTGTCTTTTTTATTACATATTTTTTATGTTCCCCTCAAAATATGGCTGCCGTGCCCCACCTCCCCCTGCTAATAGCATTCACTTTCCCCTACTTAGATGGCCGCCATATTCCCATAAAACTGTTTTATTCAATTTCATCTTAACTTATCTGTATAATATTCCCCCCTCTATGCCTTACCTACCAGTAATAACCAGTAATAACACCTAACTACATGCTTCCCACCTTTATCGCTAGTTAAGTTCGGCAAAACATTCAAAACATTCCACAACGTCGGCAGGTCCTACTCTAACAACCTAATGTCTGCTTCATGGGATACTTACTTGGGGGAAAAATTCCATCTGGGGTTCTCTGCAGTACAAGGCTAAATATGGCCCTGAGCTGAGGTACCTGTGACTGGCAGGCAGGGGTGCAAAACCAAGGAGTTGGCTAGACTCCCAAATATATATATGAGAAACCAGGGGGCTGGCTGCACTCACCTGGACATGCATAAATAATAGCGTGCTGCTGGGAGCCAATTTATACAATACAATAGAGATCCAGCACACTCCCTTATATATATATAAAACAAAAATAGTAATGCACTCCACCTTCCTTGATGTACTTGCCCGGTGCTTATCAGCAAACAGATACAGCCAAAAGTACAAGATAGCAGTCCAGAGACTTCCAAGTAGAATGAATAAAGCTTTTATTAGCTCAAAATAAAAATCAACGTTTCAGTCTGTATCACAGTCTGAGCTAATAAAAGCTAAGTTATATTCATTCTACTTGGAAGTCCCTGGAGTGCTATCTTGTACTTTTGGCTATATATATATATATATATATATATATATATATATATATAGAGAGAGAGAGAGAGAGAGAGAGAGAGAGAGAGAGAGAGAGAGAGATACGAATGAACATAATCTAAATGTATTAGAGAGTGAAATCAATAATATCTATGACAGAATTGTAAATCATCTATTTATATAAATATAAATACAAAATGTATTTTTGTAAAGAAAGATTTGTCTCTAAAAGTCTAGAAAATGCTTCATAAAAATAAAATCATTTTTCCCCCCCATAAATAGCTCACTCATTAATGAGCCTACATTTCTAGTAGATATATTACCTTTCCACAGATCTATGCTTTTTCTTTGAAGAAATGCGAATTGTGAATTTTTGGTACATATAGTTTATATATGACAATCACTCCGGAGAAACTGTATGTTAAAAAGAAAATAACAGAATCATTATATGCACCCATGAGCAATGTCCTGAGTACATAAATAATATAATGATTATATTCTATATTCTAAAGCAGATCATGCATGAATGGTGGCACCATCTATGTTGTTTTCTGTATTGAATGTGAAATAATTCACATAATAGTAATCTCCTTTGTGTAATTTGGAGCCCTAATCTCTGGTATTTTTCTGAGCTAACATAAGGGACAGCTCTGTACATGTATTGTTCGAGTCTGTGAGTTGATGTACCATGGGCAATCATTAAAAACAATGGTCTAAGAAGACAACAGTGAAACACCCTAATTATAGAGCACGCAAACAATACAAATGGCCTTTCGAAGGTAGCCTGCTGCCCTTTGGAGGTGACCACAGGAAAGCATAAATTTAAGGAGAGTCTCTGGAAACATTTTAAGCAGTAAGTATTGCAGTTAGCACGTATATCTCCTATGTTAAAATTAGTATAGGACCCATTCATATTGGGGTACAGTGACCTAGTGGTGGACTTAACAAAATATAACCATACAGTGTAACTGAATCCCCATATTTTTTGCTATGATAGGTAATTTTAAGTAGCCTTGTAAAGTTTAAAGTAATTTTTTTGCTTGCGCCGATACTTAATCTGTATTTTGCAGATGGCAGCACCACTACTGAGAACTGCATGTTCCGGGTATGCCCCACAATTTCCTTTTTTCCATGCCAGAACACAGTTCGTTCTTTGTGGTTTTGAGCAACTGAGGACCCAAGGTTGAACATATTTTCAGACAAAGTCTGCATGGCAGTAGTAAAACTAATATAGAGAGGGCTCTGGTGAAAAGGTAGATGCGCAACACACACAATGCTTGCCAGCTGGGGATCTACTTTTTTGCCTATACTTGCAGGGTAGCATTTGTGAGCAGTGTGCATGGCTGCAACTGTCCAAGGTGCACAGTCGCCATGTGACAGACAGGAGGGGAGCGCACAGCACAGTGCTCCCCTGCCTGCCAATCATGGCATGTAGCGAGGCCAAGCCCAGTCCCTCCATGTGTCACTCCCCAACTCCATCCCCTCCTATACGTGCTCTGTATCTCTATGTAGCGGACCGCTGACAAGTGCGCGTTGCTCTCAGTAAGCACTTCCTGTCAGGTCTGTGACCACACAATTTGTAATGAATAATCCCAAAAACCATCTAAGTGACTGAATAAATATCAAATCAACGAAAAACGGAAAAGGCAAAATAAATAAAGGAAATGGTCAAATAAA